TTGTATGTATGTAAGTATGTATGTATATGTATATATATAATTGCACCGCCGTTGCATCGGATAAGCTACAATAAGCAAATGGGAGTTTGCTATAAAAAGCCACACACCTGAGTTATCCATAGCATTGCTGAGCAGATGATTTCCATCAGGACTTAGTTCCACTCCTGTGACCGTGTCTGTATGCCCGTTCATGTGATATTCCACCTCATTCTTCCGTAAGTCCCAGCACTTAATGGTGTTCTCTATACTACCCGAGTATATCCTCTGTGCATCCGCACTGAAACACACACCGGTCACCTGATACCTATTACTCAACGTCGCCACAGCCTTCTTCTCACGGAAGTCCCATAACTTAACAGTTCCATCGTCACTCCCTGAACACGCCAGAGTGCCTACCCTCGATGGGCAGCAACTATTCACCACCGCCGTATGGCCTCTAATCTTTTTAATGCGTTCACCCGTAGACACATTCCATAGCGCTAAAAACTTATCGGCCGAGCACGACAATAGCTCTCCGCCGCCGGATGCAAAATCCACCTGCATCACAGCGTTTGTGTGTCCTGAAAGAACCATGTAATTCTCACACTCTCCTGTCGATTGCCATAGAAACACTTGTTTGTCCTGTGAGCCGGTAGCGATTATACTACCATCCGGGCTGAACGCTCCACAATTCACCACCCCATCGTGCCCAGTGAGAAGCATTGTGGGTGCTAAAAGATTAGAGGTGCGTTTGAGATTAGCTGGAACTACTGCATTTTTGTTAGCTTTCGAGGGGACTAATTGCTGAGCCCCGGAACCGGAACTATTTGCAGCATCTTTCATCTTTTTGGGTTGCGATACTACCACCGCTTGGACGACGTCGTCCAGCTTTCGCTTAGTCACACTCGTCATGTTTAGCTGCACTGTTCGATTACGCAAGGGATATGGTTCCCTTTGATGGCATCTAAGCAACTAAAGCGTAGTAGACAGCCCAATACATATTGGATAGAGCTCGCTATATTTTTAACAGCAGTTTTGTGTTTCTGTGATAATAGTCATAATACATACACGAAAGATATTCACTCGACGGTTTTCCACGCGCAACTTTTCCACTATTGTCATAAACCGCAGAAAAATTACTAAAACTTGGTTTGCATTGCTCACCACATCTCGTTGCTAGGGTATATAGGACAACTAAACTACGGAGTATCAGTAATCATATAAGTGTTCACGATTCATTTTTCAATATAAAGTCTAGGCAGATTCCACCATGAGTCCATGACTATATGTATGTAGGATATATATTCGAATGCAACCACTGCATCGAGGTCTGGTTTATAGCCAGTTAAACCTGGAATAGTGTGTCTGTAGCCATGTGTTAAAGTGTTGATACTTTCGTTCCGGCAAAATACACTGATGCGTAAAACTTCGCAGCAGTCACCATTTATCATCCAGCCATAGTCGGACAGGAATCCACCAAACACTTTTAACATCAAACATCATGTGGTATGATAAATTATTCACCGAGAGATGGGTCTCAAATGCGACGCGATTTTCCCTTATACTGTACGTAGGCGTAATACTCTGTGCGATTCTACAAGTCCCAGAACAGGTGTGTTTATGTACAGCAAAGCGAACTGATAGCTACGAAATGTCCCCCCATGTACTACAATAAAGACCAATGAAAATAGAAAAGGAACCTGTGTTTATATACTAGGCTGTATAGATAATATCTACGGGAAACTATATCATACAATATGTATAGAAGGCTTCGTATAAGGATATAAACACGCGAAATATTTTGTGCTTGAATGCCCTTGATTACGTATGACTATATATATATATA